CAATATCACTGAGTCCAGCATCAACCCACCACCACGGTCACCACTAATTGTGCCACATCCACGTGGTTTCTGAATGCTTCCAGGGCTGAACAACCCCTTCCATGAAGAACATTTTCCTGATATCCAACCTAAACCTCCCGTGGTGCAACTTGAGGCCCTTTGGCCAACCCCAGAGGGGGCAGGACAGCGGTGAAGGGGCACAGGAGGCCAAGTGAGCCAGGACGTTTTCCTCAAGCAAATGCCTTTTCCTCAAACTCCTCCAGCTATCCCTGTCTGAGATTAGAGAAGTCATTCAAAGTGCCACATTGACCCCAAAAGTGCCATATTGACCCCAAAAGTTCCCTCCCAGCTCAGATCACTGTGAAGCCCTGCTGATATCCCTATCCCTGTTCTGATAACCCTGTGATATCCCTTCTCCAGCTTGGAATATCCAGGAATATCCACTGTCCATCTCTCTGCCTCAGCTACTTTCCCAAGTGTCTACCAAGTAATTATTCCTCAGGGTGGAAATTGGGGTTTAATTAGCTTCCCAAACTGCTTATAGGAGGGAGACTCGTGTGCTGCAAGCTGCCAAAATGGGTGGGAAAGAAGGAAAACCACAAATATCCATCACTGTATTGGGGTGTGAAGGAGTTAATAAGGAATTTCATGGCCTGAACGTTTAAGGTCATGAAATAACATCAATAACACCAGAAGTAGCACAAATTTAACACCCTCTTCAATAAATTCAGCCTCCTTTAAAGTTTTCCTGAGATTGGGAGTGGAATTAACACCCAGCTGGCAAAAAATGATGTAAGGATGAGTTATGTCAACCATTACAAAATTTATTTAAAAACAAAACAAAATAGTTGTATACTCGTGGGCATCATCCTGGGGAGGGAACAGCACCGGTGGGGTGGGATTCGGGTTTTTCCAGAGTTATACTCGTTCCAAAGCTTCCAGCATGATGATGCTGTTCCCTCGGATCACCTGGAAGGGGAAAGTTGAGAGTGCAGCAGTTGTGACTCAGACTTGAGGGTCCTTCCCTCAAAATTATTTCCCCAAAATGCTGATCCTTCCCAACGATCCCTGGTCCCATCCACCCATCCAGCTGTTTCCCAGCCAAGAGTTCACCTTCTCCAAGCATCTTCTCCGGGATGGAGACGGCATCCAAAGCTTTGTAAAGCCCAGGCTGACACATCCCACCCCTGTCCCTTGCTCTGTGCCCCCCAGTCCGTCCCAGTGCCCCCAGTGCCCTCACCACCATGCCGATGTTGTTCTGCTGCCCGCCCGGCGCCATCTCCACGCACTCGTCGATCACCAGGTTCATGAAGGGGTCGAAGCCCCTCAGGATCCCCTGCACGTGCCGGCCCCCGTTCAGCTTCACTGCGGGGAACCCAGGGGGGTTAGGGAAGGGCAAACCCCAAACGGGAGGGATTCACCCCAAAACCGCAGCTCAGGAGGGGGAGGACGTGTATGGGGGGTGTTAATGGGGAGGGTTTAGTGCAGCCCAGTGAGGGGAGAGAGGGAGAAAAAGGGAGTTTTAAATTAATATTATACTTAAATTTCTGGACTGGGTCTTAATGGGTTGTAACTTCAATGGATTTTAATTTACATTAGTGGATTATGAAGCCTGAAATTAGGCAGAGTCTGGTCTGTGCTGGGCAGGACCCCCCTCCCTGGGCACTGTGAGGGGGTCCCCAAAATCAGGGGCCTGATCCCAGGGGCCATGAGAGGAAGCGAGGCAGGGGGGAGTCCCCGGGCACTGTGAGCGGGAGAGGGGCTGGGGGGGGTCCCCAAAACAGGGCACCTCGGGGGGAGCGGGGGGAACGGGATCAGCCACGGCACTCACACGACAGCTTCTTGTCCATGAACCTGCAACGAAAGGGCGGCCGGGTCAGCACCGGCGGGGGGGAAACGGGGCGAGAGACCCCCCTGCACCCTCCCGCCTCCACCTCCGCCATCACACCGGGGCGACCACCCCACCGCCGCCATGACAGCGCGGCGCGCGCCGGAACAGCGGCAAGCGGCGGCCCCCGCGCTTCCCCTCGGCCCCCTCACCCCCCGACCCGGCCCCGGCCCGGTCCCACCCCCGGTGCCGCCCCCGGACCCACTTTTTCAGCTCCGGCGGGTGCGCTTTGCTCATGGCGCCCTCAGCTCGGCCCTGCCGCGCGCTGCCTCTGACGTCACCGCGCCCTGACGTCACTGCCGCCCGCCAGCCAATGGCGGCCCGCGGCGCCGCTACCGCACTGATTCGAGTAGCGGCGCGGTGGGTTGGGGGGGGAGCGGGACGTGCGAGGCTTTACGGGAGGTACGGTACGGCCGACATGGGGTGTGGGTGTGAACACGTGTGTGTGTGACATGTGTGTGTGTGTGTACAGGTGTGTGGGAACATGTGTGTGTGTGTACAGGTGTGTGAGAACATGTGTGTGTGTGAGAACACGTGTGTGTG